GAAGATCTTTTAGCTTCAGAAAATTCATCGAGAAGTGATCCAATATTAAATGGAACATTATTCTTCTCCGAATCTTCTATTGGAATCAAATATTTCAAGTGTAATTTTATGATATCTTCCGTTCGTTTTTGTTTTTTTTTAATGCCTCAACTATTCGTTCAAGAGGCATTTGTTTGTAATGGGAGAAATGAAGCATTTCATGTTTTTTGTCTTTATTTTTAATTTCATAGCTCCGGATTTCAGCTCTTGGATTGTCCACCCATTTCCCTGGTATTTCTTTCCATAATTTCAAGTCTTCACTTACAAACCAATTCAATTTTCTCCTTATCCCATCCGGTTTTATATGAATCCATCCCTCACCAGTCAATTGAGAAATAAAACATCGAAAATAGAAATTTGTTGTGTATTTCATCCTTTTTATTTCTTTCATACGGTTAATCCGACACTTACCCCACCACCAATCATCAAAACTTGATATCAAAATCTCCAAACTTTTAAGCTCTTCAAAAGCTTCGTTTTCTTCCCCGAGCTGTTTTCGAAAATCTCCCAAAACAAACAATTCAAATATTTCATAAATATCCTTCTCATGTATATTTCCCTTCCGTTCTTCTATCTCCAATATTTCCCAAATCACATAACGAACATCTTTGAATGTCTGAGCTTCTTCTTTTAATCTTGAAACAATATTTGGTGCTTTTTTGAAGAATTTCTCTCTTTCAGCAGAATTTAGTGTTCCGAGTTTAGCTTGCATTATTTTAGGGAAGATATCCCTTCTATACCTTTCGAATCTCTGTTCATACTTTCTTTCCTCAGATTCAACCTTAACCCATTCTTTTCTATCATCAAATCCAATTGGTTTCATCAGTTCTTTTTGGTTTTCATCTTCTGTGGGCATGAAAGCGAGTGAAGAGATGAATTGATTTGCCTATTTCTTATATATGAAAAGTATGAAATCTCAACAAAAAAGAAAGTTCATCTGGCATTTAAATTCGTGTTCCATCACAAAATTTCTTCTTTCTTTCAAACTATATAAGGGAAACTTTGAAATAGTGACCCTGAAAATTTCAGCAAATTTCGTGGTTCAAACAACGAGAAAAAAACAAGATAAAAGTTAGTTTGTGGAAATACATTTCATACTTGAATCATTGAACCAAACATAACCGGCTGTATGAGTGAGGCAGAAAGTGGGCGTTTTGGCAGTTTTCACTCAGAGAACGCTTATTTTGGAGATGTTTTCCCGCAGGTCGGCGTGAAAATAATCACCAGAAGTGCTTTTCTAATTGTTTTAAACATGAATTTAGCTGAAATTTTATGGTTATCCGTATTAAAGTTTTCCCTATATATCTTGAAAGAAAGAAGAACTTTTGTGATGGAACACGGATCTACATACTATGTGAACATTAGTCAACTTCAATCCGGCCGTTCTCAACTATTTTACCACAAAAGATTTCAAAACTTTAATACTTAATCGTCTTAAGAATTCTTCATAAGCCCTGTAGATTTTAGCGATTTTTATCGTAAAATAAGAAAATAGAAGTGGACGGAAATTTGCGAGGCTACATAACTTTCCAACTCAATATAATAGTGAGCAAGAAAATCAACCTCTTCGAGAAAAGCTTACTTTATTTGTTTGTTGGAAGAAATTCAAAACTTCAGAAGCTTTTGGACGATGAATACGTTGAAAATTAGTACAGCTGATAAATAGATCCTTTGAATATAAAGGAAATTCTTAAATCCAAACCTCAAGTTAATTTTTCGAATTTCTGATTGACATTCGGGTGATTCGATTTCAGTCACACGTTTGAGTGCAATATCAATCAATAATTGGTCACGATCAAACACTCCAGGCATCTCATAGTTTGTGAAAATAGTTCTAAAACAATAAGGATGTTGTTTTGAAATCTTATAAATATCTCAGTGGAGGTTGCTATTGATGCATGAATACCTCCTTTCGATGATTTCCCACATAACAAGTCCCAGACTGTAGACATCATTTCGATGAGAATCCTGGACTGAATATATGTTATCATGGGATATAAAAGAAGCTAGAACGAACTGATACATCAGCCTCCTTCATTTGTTCATAAACATCCCGTTGTACCCTATCCTCCTTCATCTCAGGTGGACTCATATATCGTGGTGTTCCAATAAACGTCCCCGTAACAGTTCCATCTCCCACTACTTTTACCAGTCCGAAGTCACCAATCTTCAGCTGGTATTCATTGGTCACAAATATACTATAAATGAATTGAACTTCGACATTTATACCACTGAATATTACTTGTCTGGTTTGATATCTCGATGTACCAATTTGTGTTTCTGATACATGTGATCAATGGCATCAAATAATTGGATTCCCCAGGTGAGAACAGTGTTCATTGAATATGTAATTGTTGGGTCAATGATCACTAAACTCTAAGATATAACAATATCGGTCCAGACCTAACCTTCTTTGAGTGGGCCCTTTGGACAATATTCCATTACAATCCCCACTCTCTTTTCTTCTTCTATATGTCGATACAATCGGACAACATTTACATGATAGATCTTGTTCAAGGCTTCACGCTCATTTTTGAAGATCTTCAATAAGATCTTCAATTGTTCGTCATTTTTAAAAAACATATATTTGATCACAGCTGGGCTAAAGATACTTTACTTTATTCAACATGAATAAGTGGATACAACACAACGGAGGACACAATTTTTACCCCTACAATGTAGTTAAGAAAAAACCCAACTTAATGGGAAAAAGAACACACACTTGATTTCGCCAGCGGGATCGAACCCTGGATCTTCCGATTAGGAGAGAAGATTCCTAACCAGTCGGCCAACTGGCCTAAACAAAGAAGCTTATGGTACAATGCAACCTCTACAAAAGACTTAATATTGAAAATAGCAGTGAATAGATCCAAAATAACCAACGGTTTGTGTCCAATCAATTCATACACTTCTCCATATGCTCCTTGCCCAATACACTTTCCCAATACAAATTGATCAGATGTGGTCATTTCTCGCAGATAAGGCTTTAACCTAAACAACTAATTTATGAAAGTTGACATAAAAAGATGAAATGAAAACTCCAAAAGCAGCTAGCAAGTGAGGGCAACAACTTTTGCAAGAAAGGGATGTCTTATCTCTTTCTTTTCTCCACTCTTTTCTCATATCGATTGATTCTGGGTTTTGGGAAAAGGAGAGGGATATGATAACAATAAACTGAATCCGCTTAGTTCATTCAATACTCTTCAAATTTTTCTTAAATTTGACTTTAGTTTCAGGGGGGTTTAAGAATTCTGCTAACAATAAACCTAACTTAGCCAAATGCACCGAATATAATTTTGAGCTTTCGTTTACTGACTCAAAACTCATTTTACGTCCTGTTTTTGCTTGAAGCACTGCAAATAGTGATAGAAAAAAGGAGAAATGTGATTGGAAATTTATTCTGGTTTAATTGTGACAGGTTCTTCGTGATTAGTAGGGTTATTAAGATGTTGATTTACAGCTTCATTATCTATTTTCTTTTTGGTTCTACTGTTGGCCAAGAAATGGAAGCCCGTATTCAACACCTATTCTAAAGTTTTAAAATGGGTCCTTTACTGGTGTACATATTTCATTTTGTAACGCGATTTTCTTGTTGGAAACTCAATCATTCACACAGATATACACAGCCAGAGCTAAGGGTTCGAACTTAGCTTGTCCTGGCTACACTATGGGTAGATTTAAAGGTATAGGTAGATGACTAAAAACATTCAGGCCTCAAAAGACTCTCTGCTATATACAGGGTAGCTAATAAGTGTTGTTGCGTACTTGAACGCGGGTTATTTCTTGAGATTGTGTTAAGTCGCGTGTTAGTTCTTGAGAATTCCGAATCTCATGAGCCACATAGCAAAAGGTTGCGAAGAGTCTAGGGAATCTAAATATATGCATGGCTCATTTTCGCTGGCTTTTGGAAATTACAGTTTTTTTAAATCGTCACTCGCCAAACTCCAAATTATTTCAGAAAGAAAACATTTGGGACAACATTTAGGAGCAGAATTTAAAAAGTTAGCTGAATAAATAAAAACTCTACTTGTATGAAAAGCTGAATAGAACCGTCAAACCAACAAAAAAAATATTATTTGGGAGGTTTGAAAAGAGTCGAGGTCTTGAACAAAGCCTTATCTCGCGCTTTTATTCACTCGCCATATCAAATTGCCATGTATGATTTTAAATTTGTCTTTCTGAAAGGATCTTTGTTCAAAGATTTACTAAGGAAACCCTTTGGATTTGTTTGATTGCTATCTTTGGTACGTTAGATGAATTTTTATGACCAAAAGGCGTGTGGATGAATCGTCGCATCTATCATTCATGCTGCAATATTACTTAATTCTTCGTAGGCGTATCTTTTTACAATGGGTGTATATTGTTATTGTTCATATGGAAAAAAGAACTCGAAACAAAAAATAATAAAAATGTTTTTGAAGGCGAAGCTGTCATGTATTAGGGGTTTTGTCCATACCATAAGAAACACTTCCCTCGCCAAATGCCCTGTTGATATTACTAGTCGCTTCTGTTGCTGTACGTCCACGCTTGTACTCGTAGAAAAAGTGTCCAAAATTGTTCCTTATCCATGCCCTTAAAACATTAAATTTTTATTCAAAATAAAGACTGATTGTAAAGTAAAAAAACATAAAAGAGAAGAACATATATCAATCACAATTAGCTAAAAGTTTAGTATCAAAGACGCAAAAGGACTTTTAAAATCAAAGACAAAAGTTTGAGTCTTGTTTATTTCGATTATTTTCCCACCAACCTAATAGTTTATCGGGTCAACAACAAAGAATGAAACTTACTTTGCAAAATCGAGATATGAGAATTAATGCAAAACATGGAACAAGATCTAATTGGTAAAGTGGCAAAGAAGCAAATGTCCACTTGGATCAGATCTTTTTAATTTCAATTTTTGCATTTTTCGATTTTTTTAATTGCTTCAATTCTTTCTGCTTTATATCGGTTTTGTTTCAATATGGAAGTGTCGGACGGTAGCCCTTGTCCTTCTTCCCGCAACCACAGCAGCGTCTAAAGTAAATACAGAATCTCTGATTCTTTCAAAATAGAATTCTTCTTTTCAACCAATCAATTCATCGTAGGATTAAAAGCAAGCTTTTTATAAAAGAATTCCGTATATAAAACTGCTACCAATGCTAATAGCTAGTGATTCTAGAATTTAAACGATGTCGAAGCTCGACCCACATGCAACAACCGCAACAGCAAAACATGATGAGCGATGCTCCGATAATCCACAAAGCAATGTACGGCAACGGCTGGAAATGCGCACAGCAATCTGAAATTAAACTTTATTCTCTTGCAAATTTTTATTTTTTATACCGCCGTGGCAGCAATGGTAGTAGACGAGGTCGGTCTCTTTGCCTAAAAATTATTGCTTTTATAGGCTATCTAAAAAGCTATTTCTCTTGGAAAACATTTAAGCTATTCTAAAATGGAAAAGAAAAGAAAAGTAGAAACTCTTCAAAAGTATGCAAGTGATCCAAAAAACACACATTTTTCAGCCTTTTCCTCACATCCCCCCAATCGGGACTTCCTTGGTTCGAGTGAGTAGGTGGCACCCACTGGACTGACCAACACCACAATGAATATCAGAGAGTTGAAGCGAGCATTCGAGAAACACAATCTACTCGCCGCCCCAATCCACTCCAAACTTGAGTACTGAAAGTTTAAAATAAGCCCTGTACTGGCGTATGTATTTCATTTTCTATACAGCTACCCGTTATGCCTAGATTAAACAGCTAATCCTTGAAGATTCAGCTCTGAACTGAGCTCTGCGAAACACTAAATCTAGTCACACTTATCCTTTGGCAAAATTTATTTGCCTTTTCTTGAATCAGTCTTTCTGAAACTGTCTTTGTGCAACGATTTACGAAGGAAACCCCTTCGATTTGGTTTAGTGCTATTTTTGTTGATGAATTTTTATGAACAAAAAGCGTAGGGGTGAATCATCACATCTACCCATTCATGCTGCAATATTATTAACTGTTCGTGGACGTATCTTTTTCTAGTATTCAGGCATTTGGTATAACGAGTGATTAAAAGCAAGAGAAAAGCGTCAGTTTAGCAGATCTTTACTGGTGTACATATTTCATTTTATAGCGCGACTTTCTTGTTGGAAGTTCAAACAGTCACACAGATATACACAGCCAGAGCTAAATGTTCGAACTTAACTTATCCTAACTACACCATGGGTAGATTCAAACTTACAGGCAGATGACTAAAAAACATACAGGCCTAAAAAGGCTCTCTGCTGCATCGATGCCCTTATCTGGCTGGTCTTATGATCTTAGTATTTATATTTTATCTTTTCAGAAGCAATTTTTTCATACAGCTAACCTTTGTGCCTAGACTAAACACCTGATCCTTGAAGATTCAGCTCTGAACTGAGCTCTGTGAAACACTACATCTAGTCACACTTATCATTTGGGAAAGTTTATTTGCTGTTTTCGAGTTAAGTTTTTAAGTCGAAGCTCTTACTAATGAAGACATATCGAAGAGCCGTGGTTAAATAATCAAAGTGTACAAAGAGCCAAAATTAATTTCTCAAGTTATATTGCAAGATAGAATTGGTCGAGTCAAAAAAAAAATATGATTTGGCTGCGTTTGAAAAGAGTCGAGGCCTTATCTCTCGCTTTTATTCACTCGCCTATCAAGTTGCCATGTATGACTGTGAATTTGTCTTTCTGAAACCCTCTTTGTTCAACGATTAACAAAGGAAACTCCTTAGATTTGTTTTAGTGCTATCTTTGGGACGTTAGATGAATTTTTATGACCAAAAAGCGTGGGATGATATTAATTAATTGTTCGTAGGCGTATCTTTTTCAAGTTGGTGTATATTCTTATTGTTCATATGGCAAAAGAACTCGTAAAAAAAGTTAACCATAGCAAAAAGCACTAAAAATATTTTTGAAGGTGAAGCTGCCATGTATTGGAGGTTTTCTCCTTTCGGCGACGAAGATTACACCGTAATCTATCAATCAACGAATCGAAACATAAACTTCAAGTGTGCTATATTGTGAACGTTAAAAGCTAGAACATATATAGCACATGTCATCGATGCCATTAAAATTGTTTTATTATTTGGAATGCTTTGGATTGATGTGTTAAATTAGCACGAGAAACGGATGGATGCACAATCTTATGATTAAATTCCCTGAGATGGCTCATTGAAGAAAAGCCTTTCAATTTTATTAGCTTAAAATATTTCTTTTGGATCAGTTTTAAACATTCTAACAAAAAATACCTTATGGCTGCGTTTGTAAAGAGTCGAGGTCTTGTACAAACAAGGCCTTATCTCTCGCTCTTATTTACTCGCTGTACCAAATGCCACATGTGATCCTGAATCTGTTTTTCTGAAGGTGTTTGTCCCGATAACTATTTTTAGCGTTGCTTTCTAATTCTCCAGAAAAAATGTGGGCAACTATACAGAAATGAATTTGGTTAGAAATGGAAAAGAGAACTTTTTTGAATGGGCGTCATTTGAGCAATTTTAACGCATTCTCAACATCATTTTCAGCTAATGTTGATGAAATCAAATGATAGATCGAGCCCAAATTACAATGACCAAACCACAGCTTTCACTGAGCGCAACAAACTAAGCTCCTCTTGTTGGGAATAAGCTAAAGGGTACACATTAGATATGAGAAGGTAAAACAGGTAGAATAGGTAATTCTCCGAATCTTCTATTGGAAACAGATATTTCAATTTTAATTTTATGATATTTTCCATTTCCTTCTTGTTGTTTATTTCTCGATTCGGAAATATGGGATTTGAATGGATGGTTCACCGAGACTCCCTTGCCCGTCTGCTTAAAACCCCTTGCCCGTACCTACCTGCTGTTTGCAAGAGAAAGAGCACATCGAATAAAAACTGTACCTACCTAAAAACCTATATTTTTTATAGCAACAACATCAGCTTGCAAATCAGATTATTCTTATTAGCGAATTTATTGTTTGGCTTAAAAGTGACATGCTTCGGTCTCCAGATAAGCCATTTTCAGACCATAAATAAAAAAAAACTCTGTTCCAGATACCAATTCATATATTGCTGTAGCCCTTCTGTCCTTTGAAGCAAACAAAATAGATTTTGCAATCAAAAGAGTGAATAGTTGGACAAAGGTTTTGAATAATTGAAATGAACAATTTGAGTCTTTACGTTGCATTTCTTTTCCTTGCAGAACCATTCAAAGGGGGTCGCCCCCCTTTGGATCTCCAAAAAAATCCATTTGGGGAATCCTTTAATTTTTTCAAAATGTTATTTTTCTATTTTTCCAAAAATATCGTTTTAAATTTTACTGCCGATAAAATATTAGTAAGTTTTAGGCTCAGATCTATTCATAGAACACCCACAAGGTGGGTCTAAAGTCAAAATTTCGAGGAGTCAGGCGGTGTCATTCTATTAGAGGGTGACATTCTAATACAACATTTACGGTATGCTGTTTTACTCACTAAAAGTTTTTATCAGAATTGATCCGTGGCTAGAGAATTTTATGAACTAAGAAGGTTCAAGGATTTTTTTTAATTAAAATTTCGAAAAAGTCAAGCCTTGAAACGGAAATGACGAAGAATTTTGCATTTCATAACGTTAAAATACTCTTGTTTTCTCTGAAAGCTGACATTTTTTTGGTTCATTTTGGAGCTTGAATCCTAGTTTTAAAAACGCCGATTTAGTTTTAGAAAAGTCAAGATCTACTTAATTTTCTCTTTTTTAGAGGATCACATGGGGAATTTGAATCGACACGAATGGGGGATCGGTTGTGATTCGGAAGAGAAGTCGAGAAGAAAAAGGGGATGAGATAAGTGGTTGGGAAGGGGAAATGAGAGACAATGAGAGAGAATTGATGGCAATCGAATCGAGAAGGGAAGCAGACTGTCGGCGATACTGGTGAGTTGTGCAGCAAGTGAGTAATTGAATCGGATAGGAAATGGAAACGAGTAAAGAAACAAAGTCACACATTTCTTTTTTCGCTTATAAAGTCTCATGGTTGAAGAAGCCCAGGCTTTGGGTTAGATCAGGCCTAGATCTGGTTGTACTTCAAAAGAGTTTAGAAGGATCCGATTTAACAGATACTGATCCCATTTCTGATTGATCTGGATCTGGATCAGAAATCTGACTGATCTTGGGGCTCAGTTGAAAATCCGTACAATAATTTGTAAATACTCTGTTACACAAAACTCTATTCCAACATTGACACATTGACGACCGCGCATCTTTTGCAAAAAGCAGGGAACAAAGTGAACAACACAATCTCAGAGATTTGCCAGAAAGGTGGGTTCAAAAGAACCTAGAAACCGAGCCTGGCCGTGAATTTAGGCCAACAAGCTCCATATAGTTCATTTTCACAGTTCTAATTATTTTATTTCATACACTAATTTCTAATAGTTAACTTCTCAATAAATTTATCGAGCTGGTCTGGAAGCTGGCTGCAGAACTGGGGAGCACTTCCGAGGTCGAGTAGAGGTCGGAAATTGGCTCCGTGATTTCTTTGCCGCGCGACTCAAAAATTTTTGAGAGAAGGGGATCCGAGCTCTACCTAATACCGTATTCTCTCTAATAGTATTGCGGTCCGAGAGGGGGTTGAAAAAATAGTAGTGCGCACTACTATTAGAGAGAATACGGTAAATGGCAACGAGTCATAGATAATAATGGAGATTACCTTGAATACATGTGTGGTTTACTTTTTTAGAAAAATACAGTGCAAAAATTTTCACTTTGAACTTTCCAACCTAATATTTTATTTTATTTGCTAATTTCTAGGAGTTAACTTTTAATATATATGCTATATGTTCCCGGATCAGAATTTCCTCTAGAACTGTTTTGAGCGTCAGTGAGGAAGGCGTCATCTAACAAGGGAAAGGTACTGAGCTTGCCATTTGATTAGAGACCAAGTCCATCTTATAAAGTCGGCCATGGGCATCTCGAATGCATTTTCAGTTTTGCTAAACGCTTCGCAGGTGCGAGACATATTTGGCATAAAAAACCACCTTCGTTTCTTCATTCTCGACTTTTCGAGCTCCTTATGAGATCGATGATGAGATATGTATTTGAGACAATAAAGCTAACTACAAGGTTACACTAGTACGAAAAAACTGGTACTGGAAGGTTACTTTTCACCAAATTTTCCCAGAGCCAATCGTGTATATAAACTGCAATCGCCACAATCTTGCCATCATCAATTCCCATTTGTAGGTAATTGTCTCGAAGCTTTCTTCCGGCCTTATCGATCAAGGCGACGAGGATCGTGAATGTCTTGTCCCGTCAGCTCCCTCCTCAATGTCGTCAATTCCTGTATTTCAATGGACTTCTCCCCCTCCATCTCCATCATTGATCGTTCGTCCTGTCTCATCCACTCATCCCTCAACTCCTCCCGTCTTCAATTTGCTAATTGTTAGGACACATTCGTTTCGATCTTCAAAAACTGCCCAGCCCTGATGGTACTTTTTCACCGTGTCCTTTGTGACCCAATCTTGTAAACACATCCTTTCTGGTGTGCTCGAGTCGTTGTTGCAAGAAAAAACGGAGAAATCCAGAAAGGTGGTGTTTACAAGATTCGATTACAAAGTAGATCACAGAGCTATAACGTGATCAAAGCTACCGCAATTGCAAAGGAAAAGTACGATTTTCAAGTAAAATTTTTCAATTTGCACACCCAACTCCCGAAAACACAGCTCAGCACACAATTCTTTACATATTTCCCCCTTTTTATGAATACACCGGTTCTCCTTTTATTCTTTTCTTCCATTTACGGGTTTCCTTCATTTATTGGTACTCATTCTTTTTTTCTCATCGTTGCTTGTACATTTGTGGATATTATAAACTCTTCTTTTTCTCCACCTTTAGTAATAACATATCAATGAGAATTAATTTATTTGTTTATGGATGTGAAAGAATATCTACAAAACGAAAAAGAAACAGAAATCCATTTAAAAGTGAGAGAAAATAGTGGAAAAACTCAAACTACCTAATAACTAGCTTTGAGCACATTGACCACATTGTTTAATCTTTTTGAATAAGTTCGAAAATGTTCATGAAGATTATAAAAGTTTCATTCCAATTCCCCTTTTGGTGAAAATCTGATTTCTCTTATTTGTGTGTGGGAACATTTCAAGCATGAAAATCGTTCTCTTCCGATAAATACTTTATTTATTTGAAAAAAAAAGAAAACAAGTGACATAAAGATGGATAGAGTTTAAAAATTGGATCAGTAAAATAAAAACTCTGGAAATTGTGGAGTCAGAAAGATTAGGGTTAGGCTACAGAGCAACAAACTAAAACTAAGTAGTGCCCAGGTTTGGACACATTAAACATGGCCATGTTTGATCTTTTAGAATAAATTTAGAATGTTTATGAAAATTATAAAAGTTTCCTTCCAATTCCCCTTTTGGTGAAAATCTGATTTCTCTTATTTGTGTGTGTTGATCAGAAAATTGCATTTATTACTGAGAGGAGGCAGAAAAGAACGTTTTATGGTGGATTTTGTGAACATTTCA